GATTTAAGGATAATGCTTTCTGCTTCTGCGTAGGTCTCACAAACTGAAATTTAACTTCCGACTACTATGTCTAGTCCCACTTACGACCGTGTACAGCTTTTGACACTAAAGTCACCAACTCGGAAATCAGAAAATTATGAAGTTGGAATTCTTGAAAGCCTTTACATCGCCCACATGTGATGTAAAGGCTCTAAATTTAGCTTTAACAGATGCTTATCTTTCACGTAACGGTGAAATTTTTGATGAGAGATTTCGGAGCTTAGAAACCAGACGATATATCGACTGTTTTTTTACATACTAAAGTGTAAAACAGTGAAAATTCTTAACTACAAGGTTCCGCTGGATGGGACCGTGAAAAACGTATAATCGCACCGGCTACCGTAGAGCGCTCCGCTACCCATTCCACTTTCAATCCCTTCCAATTCCAGATTTTTTTTTTGCAAATAATATAGGCTAATTTCAGGCTTTCACAATGGGTACCACAAACAAAATTTTATGTGTATCGTATAGAGCAGCAGCAAATTGGACATCGTACGAAGAGCGTTTATTATTTCGAATTTACGGAAGTAATACAAGTAAAATCATCGACAGGTAAACTTTTGTAAGGCATTCACATTTCATTTTAATTTTGAATTTTAACTGCAGTGTAAGAAGTGAGCAAAAAAGCACATACTTGCTATTGCTAATAACGCGTTTGACTTTACCGCAACTGCAAATGTTGAATGAAGGCAAAAAGAGTTTGATAATTGGCGATATTTGGCATCATGTGGATGTGCTGCTCAGTTATACGCCAGATTCACAAACGGCATCGTCAGCGGCTTCATTCCTGGCAATACACTTACTGTTAGCAACGTGCGTGACAAATTAATCATTACGTATGTTTATTTTAGTTTTCATTTAAGATTTACGAGTTTTTTCTGAACCGTATCAGTTCATTTTCAGCAGAATGCCTGATATCTACAACCAGAAGTATTTTGTGCAAGAACACTTTATACTAGTTACTAAACCCTGGAAACTCGAATACCAGGGACTGCAAGTTTTGTCTTGCTGAATTCTTTGCTATGTAGCCGTTACGTCCTTTATGTAGTTTGTCGAAACAGCTGTATTAATTCTGGTGAACAAAAGTATGCAGTTTTGAGCAAATGGCCAACTTAGTGTTTGATGTAGTCTAAGGGCCCGTTTCTATCTATTTTTATAATCGAGACAGAAGAGATAATTTTATTATCCTGTTCCTGCAAAGAGCTTGCAGTTTGTAATTTTATGTGTTCTTATAATAGAGTTTTTTTAGAAAAATTTGCAAGACTCTTGCGAAGATGCATAAATTGAAACCGAACACTGGCAGTGCATTGCAGCCGGTTTTATTTGCAAAAATCAGTCAGTATCTTGAGGTGTCTTCGGGTCATTACCAGGTTTCTTTTGTCTTTACAAAAAAATTTTTACAAACTTTGAAAAAGGCGCACTCTGGTTAAAAATTGCCTGGTTTTTTTGTTTATTAGATTTTCGATTTTAAGAACATGCAGGCTCAGAAACTGAAAATTCAAATCTAACCTCAAATTCTTTCAAAAAAAAAACCCAGGCTGGAACGCACCAGGCGGGCCGGTGCGATTATGCGTTTTTGCACTTTTC